CCGCGAAGTCGTGCGCGCGTTAACGCTCTCCTGCGGTCAGGGAACAACGCATCTTTTGCGCAACGCCATCTTGTACCCGTCTCTCTGGATACAAATTTAAAAATTACAAAAATGTAACAAACACAGGTGACAGGATAGGATGTAACCCTATCCGTGTTTGGGTTCACTTAGAGTTCCTTAGGCTTTATATTGAAGGGACTCTAGGTACATTTATTGTATCTAACTGGTTACCTGCCCTAATCCTCCATTTCATTTTTCGTTGATATTGGATAACCGTCAACACAACTACTACTGGCATAAAAAACTAAACCTTATTTACATTTGCTACTCGTAGTTCTAGATTCGGCCCACTACGTGGCGCGCGGTGCTGTGCAACTTCCGGTTGGTAACGTATGAAAATGGAAAAATGAAACGTAAACGAAAAATACGAAAAACATTACTCCTATCACGTCACGACGCTATCCACTAGGATGATTAGTAACATTAATAATTGCAATAATACAAAAAAATATTAAATGAAAAATACGGAAACGCCCGAATTAAGACGAACGTTAACATCCAAAGATGGCAGCCTCCTTGAAGCCGAAGCCAACTGTACACCAACGATGAGTGACCGGCGCTTTTAAACAAGACTTGACCATTTATCAGCGGTGAATTAATCTAAAAAAATGTAAGAAATTAAAACGTGATAGTCAAATTTCGAAAATCTATGTGATTGTTTTCTCTTGCAACTGTCATGAATGATTTGTAACAGCTCAACTGAGCAACTGCGCTTCGTTCCTCCCACCACGCCACTTGCCACGGGTGATAGTGACAGTTTTACTGATGACAGGAGTAACAAGTTATGATTATATAGATCTTATATTATCTTATCCTGCTGATACTGATACTGATACTGATAGTTACAAGTTACTACTTGAAGTTTACAAGATGGTTCGTCATGCACAGCCGTCGTACGAATTTTATTTTACTCTTTAGTCAGTTTAGTCACTCGTAATTTTATTAAAAAACATGGTAGAGTATAGAGATTAGTAAAACTCATTCAGATTTCAGTACAAATTACAATGTTTTCAGGTTTCATTCATTGTTCATAAATTCAATGTAGTGGTGACCATGAGATTGATCAACGTTAGCCTGCGTGCATTGTCTCTCTCCGTTCTTCATGCCCTTGTCTGGGAAGATTATTCTTTACAAGGTTTTGAGGTTTAATGCATGGATCAAGGAGTTTGGGACTCCCGCAATATGTTTTCGCACCATTAGCCTAGTACTATAGCCCGCGTACATTGCGCGCAGGCTATAGAACAATTGTCGGCTGGAATACCAACTGCAACCTGTCCCCACCTGTCCCCACGAAAAATGGATCGCAAAACGCAAATTATCGGGCTTTTAACACTTATCTACGTGGACATCTCACCTATCTTTTTGAACACTTTACACAACTTTACACCATGTATTTATCCTTTTATTCCACAAATAACACTACTGGAAATTCCCGTTTGAAATTCTGGCGTGCGTACGCGTGACGTCACCGGTATTGTTCAAACGGGAATTTCCAGTAGTGCTTACTTTTGGATAAAAGGAAATACATGGTGTAAAGTTGTGTAAAGTGTTCAAAAGATAGGTGAGATGTCCACGGTAGATAGATAAGTGTTAAAAAGCCCGATAATTTTGCGTTTGCGATCCATTTTTCGTGGCGGCGGCGACAGGTTGCAGATTGTACGATTTCCAGCCGACAATGTTCTATAGCCTTGCGGCAGTCAATGTACGCGGGCTATAGTACTAGAGCTATTCGCACATGTACTAAGCAAATCTGGGGTGCTAAACTAGGTCTGGGCATGCTGTGCACGTAACCACTTTTATTCAGTATGTATAGTTAACATACGTGTTCTATATAGTTATACATGTTTCTTTTTGAATTTCAGTCAAACAGCATTCAACCACATTCCGTAAACCTGTCACGCTAAAGAAAGTCGCCAACTAGCGCGTTCAGTTGCAAGCCATCCGCTGCATGGTAGAAACATGGCGACCGCAGTCAAAGTTGACGGCTACGGTTTTGAGCGACCGGAAGACTTTGATTTCGAAACGTACGAGGAATTCATGTCCAGGTAAATGCATCCTTTAACCATACAAGATTACAAGTGTTAACCGGTGTATTCGAATGCGGTCTTGCATCTCGCAGCGTGTGTATGCTTTGCTATACCTAGTTCTAAACAAGTACACCTTTCACAATTCACATATCATGTACCAATAACTAACAGGACTATCATAAAAATCATGAAATGCCACCCTGGTAAAGATCAAACAGCTTAGTATGGTTAGTTGTGCACAGAGATGCTACATTTCTGGATTTTACCGGAAATCCGGATTTTTAAACAAATGTAAAAAGTTCCGGAAAAAAATCAGAAAAAATCCAATTGAAAAAATCCTGGGACCCAAAATAACACTATTCAGAAGGGATTCTTATCATTGCGAATTAGCGCATTAAATTTAGTATTAGGGAGCTTTCGGTTTGCACGACGGATCGTTCTGCGACGGTAAAAATTCATTACCACAACTGTCCGGTGTACTACGGTTGCCCCTGGGCCCCACCAAGGGCCCGCCTTGTCCCTGGACCCGTGTCAGAGGTTAGTTTTAGGGTTTTGCTGTGCATTTGCAGTTGGTTGAAAATCACTAAATCAATGAACAAAATGAGCAAATAAATTCGTAAATCATTTACTAGTTGCTAATTCGAGCGTCTGTTTGCGTAGGTACCTCTCGGTGCTCGTGCGTCGCGCGAAGAAGTGGGAGCAGCTGTTCGGCTCGTCGCCCCTCGAGGACCACCTGAAGAGGTCGTCCAAGGTCAAACGCTACACGCGCAAGGGCATACCCGGTGACAAACGCGCCCTCGTGTGGATGACGATGAGCGGCGCCCTCGCGCGCATGCAGGCCAACCCGGGCGTCTACCAGCGCCTCCTGGAGGCGCCGACACACGACGACCCAGTCATCGACGCCATCCGCACGGACATCCACCGGACGTTTCCCGAGAACGTGTTCTTCGTCGACGCGCCCGAGGGCCAGCGGGTGCCGCTGTTCAACGTGCTCGTCGCGTTCGCGCGCCGCCGCCCGGACGTCGGCTACTGCCAGGGCCTCAACTTCGTCGCCGGGATGCTGCTGCTCGTCGTCAAGGACGAGGAGCGCAGCTTCTGGCTTCTCGACGCGTTCGTCGGCGGCGTCGTGCCGACGGGGTACTACACGCCGGCGATGACGGGTCTCCGCACGGACACGCGCGTCCTCGCCGAACTCGTGCGCGCGCGCTGGCCGGACGTGGACGCGACGATGCGCCGCGAGGGCGCCACCTTCGACCTCGTCGCGACGAAGTGGTTCGTGTGCGCGTACGTCGACGTGCTCCCCGTGGAGACGCTGCTGCGCATCTGGGACAGCCTCTTCTACGAGGGCGCGAAGGTCGTGTTCCGCGTCGCCGTGACGATGGTCGCGCGGCAGCGCGCGCGTGTCGCGGCGGCGCGCGGCCTCGCCGACGTCGTCTCGGCTTTTCGCGTCGCCATCGACGACCCCGCGAACACGTTCGCGCACGACTTCATGGCCGACGTTTTCCGGGTTCCCGGATCGTTCCCGATGGCGACCATCGACAAGCTGCGAGAGCAGTGCGAGCGAGCCGTGCTCGAGGAAGATAGGTAGCGTCGCCGCGGCAACGCGAACGGGAGAACGTCGACGGACGTCGCTCGAGGAGGAGAGGTAGCATCACCGCGGCAACGCGGACGGGAGAGTGTTGACTGATGTTGCTTCAGGAGATGAGGTAGTGTCGCCGCGGCAACGCAAACGGGAGAACGTCGACAGACTTGAGTGCACATGACCAAAGAGAGAAGAGAAGAGAGGTGAGACGGGTCGTGCGAAAAACGCAACCGTGCGGGTGGACGTGTCGATGACTCGTCAAAAATCTTCGTCAGTGTTGCTCGCACTGAAAGCTGATGTGGCGCACCTCTCATAGTATCAGGTAAAAGTCAATCGGAGTCTGAATTGGAAAAATGAGTCTCTCAGTTGAAAAGAATCGAGCAAGGATCTGAGAATGTGACGAAAATTTTATAACAACGTCGCAGCTAACACAAGAGGCAAAAGTCGGGTCGAGCGTTTTAATATCTGCGATTGAGTGCGCTGCGAAATTCTCATATTCCGAGCGAAGATCTACATCTATGCAACGATATTTAAAAGCCGGGTGATTTTCATGTATGATCTTATGTGTGTGAGCGTGGAATTTCTCCATTTTCGATCATCGTCCGTATTTCTGGTGGTCGGTCGGTGGGTTGGTTGATTCCCTGGAGTATTAGTGGAATGGGAACGTATTTTAACACGGCTTACTGAAGCAGGCAAATGGAGACCGTCCATGAATATCTTTGGGTTATAGTTATATTTTGTCTGCCAGTTTGATCGCATTTTGCCCGTAATCGTATTAATTCCTGACAGTATTTAGTTGTGGAAGTGATTTTATGATTTATTATGAAATGATATGTGTGTAGTTGAATATTCGAGTCACATGAACAAAATCAAAGGATAATTAAGGATCGATAGATGAACATGCCAATGACGAGTTTTTATTACTGGTGGGAAATGACCGGGCCTAGTTTGAGGTGAATCATGTGCGCTTGAATAGGCGAAATCTGAATTGATCGTAATCACCAAAGAACGTTTCTCCCTCTCGTGTTGTTATGAAGGACACATTGCAATATCTCGTTCCCAGCCTGCGATAGTAACGTGTTATATATTCCACGTTAACAGTGATCTGATGGCATGATGGAGATAAAAGGCAAAATTGATTGTAATAATTTTCATGATGTTGTGAGTGTGAATGGGTTTATATGTGAGGTGTGCAATATGCTAACAATCGCTCCTAAGTTTGTTTTATAAACAGTCAAACCTCGGTTATCCGAACAAGATCTCAAGGTCACGTGAATATTTAACGATAATACGACCAGATCAGTTATCCGAACAATCAGTTATCCGAACAAAATACTCCCCGCCCGCCTCGATCGCATAATCGAGGTTTAACTGTGTGTGTATATTATTATATATATATATATATCATATGTTTATATATATATATATATATAATTAATATCAAGAGCCCATTAACCCCATAAAAGGGGTTAATGGGCTCTTGATAATATACATACATATCAGGAGTTAATAATGACAAATGTTAATAATTTGTCATTATTAACTCCTGATACATATATATAAGCGTAGTAATGTGAGACCGAGTAATATCATTAACTCCTCTGGTTGTTGTCCACTTACTTTGCATTTACTGACAGATTAATGTTGCATCAGTCTTGCAATGTGAATGCATGACATAATATACATACATATCGGGAGTTAATAATGACAAATGTTAATAATTTGTCATTATTAACTCCTGATACATATTATATATATAAGCGTAGTAATGCGAAACCGAGTAATATCATTAACTCCTCTGGTTGTTGTCCCCTTACTTTGCATTTACTGACAGATTAATGTTGCATCAGTCTTGCAATGTGAATTCATGACAGACAGTGAGTTCACGCGTCTTTTCTCTGTCCGTGTTGTCGGTGGTGCGCCGCATTTTATAACGACGCGTTCGCTTCTGTGATGGAAGCCCTGGTTGTTTTACTATAACGTCAGTTTTAGCATGGTATAGATCCCACCTATGACAAACGGCTCCCTCTACGTTGCGCATGTGCAATAATGATCATATTCCTATGCCCATGTGCAATGCACCATACAGCCTGCTAGACGTGCTCATGCCTATTTGCAATGTAGATTGTGGAGGTTTGCCATATGCAGGATGCTACACCGGCCCTTTGGCTCGAGATTTCTACAGGTTTTGTGGCGTGTTGCAGTTGTGCTGATTTTGCAGTGTGCGTGTTTGGTTATGGGGCCAGGATTTGACTCCCTATCACAGGTCTTCCTGCTTGTTTGTTTTACTGACCTTTCTTCTCAGGGAGTGAATTGTGTTGTGTGCATGCGCGCGTGAATTTATGTGCTGTATTATTATACGGTTCGTAAATAAGACGACGAGTCGACGACGTTATGTCAAGTTTCTCAGAAAGCAAGAAATCAAATGGTGAAGTTAATCCGTGTTAGGTCGCGTTGATTGTCAGTGTTACTACGCCTTTGCGGTGAAATCTTTATAGATATAATGTGATGCGCGAACTATTATCTGTATGAAAGCTTATTGTTGCCTAAATTAATCACTAATATTTCTCCACACCTTCATAATCTATATAGGTTTGAGTTGTTACATATGTCACTAGTAGTGGGCAGCACGTGGTTGGGAAAGTATAGACTTAGTATTATAGTTGGGATTCCCAACTTTGGAAGATATAATATAGTATCAGGAGTGAATAATCAGGGCCGTAGCCTGTGGGGGGGGGGCAAGGGGGTCAGCTACCCCCTAGATTTTGGAGCAAAATTTAAAAAAAAAGCTGAGTTAATAATCGTAAATAATTCTAACGTGATTTTTTTTGGTCGCTTATCCGTGAAAGCCTTGTCTCAGACCCACCACCCCTACCACACTATGGACGTCGATCAAGAGCTGCGCCCGTCGCTCATCATTACACAGTTGAGTCATGAAATTTTGCCCCCCCCTTCCCTAAAAATTTGCTCAGCCTACGGCCCTGATAGTAATAGATTATTTATTAATAAGACGATCTATTAATAGATAATTTATTATTATTCACTCCTGATAGTATTGTATCAGGAGTAAATGAATAGAGAGTACACGAATACAGATCTTATATAATATATACGAATATCAGAATTCATGAACTGCTGAAATTATCATATCATTTAATATCTATCATACAATGTGCGTGAGTGCGTGAGTGCGTGCGTGCGTGCGTGAGTGCGTGCGTGCGTGAGTGCGTGCGTGCGTGCGTGAGTGCGTGCGTGCGTGAGTGCGTGCGTGCTCCCGTGCTTGAGTCTGCATATGCGAGGTGAGTTAATTAGCATGCTATGTATTGCAATTAGTGGCGATCGTATTGTAGATTAGGTGATGAATATATTCCATGGAAATATAATGAACTGTATAATGTATGCATGCATGCGCGTGTGGCTGCCTTCAGTTTGCACTGTAGATCTATTGAAGCCGGGGTTTGTGTTATTGCGTGCAAGGCGTTTGTGGTGTATATAATTATTTTGCGACAAATGCAATATGTAAATTAATGATAAACTAAATAAACATCGGCTCAACATGAAAACTATAGTTTTGTTGTATAAATTTTATGTTATCACCGTTCCTTCCTTTATTCATGTGGCTTCTTCCTCCTCTTCGTGTGCATTCTTTCTCCTCTTTTTTCATTTCCTTCTCTTTGCTCTACATTAGTACAAGAAGGACTTATGACGGGGGCAGTGCGTCTATGTAGAACTCGTTATATACCTAAATAGGTGTATATATTTATTGGCATATTTCTATATTCCATTCTTCCACGGTTTCGTCGTTTGTCGCAATTTCTGCCACAGATGGCGCCAGGAGTCCGCCGCGTCTGTAGATTGGCGTGCACTCGTCGCTGCCTAGTGTATTTTGATGTATCGCAAAAGAATAGTTATCCATCTACATCGCAGCTGTGAGGATGCATCAGTTTTGGCCTGGCCCTGACTTCCCCGCCCCCTGACTCCATACCAGGCACTACCACTACTCTAGCATTTTTCATCGTGCAGCATACGGCTACGTATATATGATCTCTCACACGCTTCGCAGCGACACAGGCTTGGTCTAACTTGTTGCCGAATCTGTGGATTGTTTGACGTGAGTCTGTTGCGGTAGGTAGTGTAATCTGACATATCCTAATTAGTAAATAATCTGTATCTGTCTCTACTGAGTACGTACTGTACTGTGCACAGTACACTATGAGTGTATAGTGTACCTTAGCTAGTAAAGTCCTCCATTGAGATTTTGTATTACTAGCCAAGGTCAAAAAGTGGTCGCAACCTCTGAGTAATATATACCTTGACACTGAGAGCAATGAATGTTTTTGTTGTGTAATTCACTAACTAAAAGTAAAAGTTTAGTAAGTAGCTAATATAAGTAATATCAGGAGTAGATGAAGTCTTCATCTACTCCTGGTAATATAACTAACATTCAAAAACAACTCTGTTAAAAATGGTCAAAATCGGCACAAGGGTGAAAACAGAGCATACGATAAAATCTTGTCGATGTTTCGCAGTCGCCCCGCTGCTCTGACATCCCGATGTTGCGAGCGATCCGGCCGTTTCTCAGCAGTGGCGCCACCTACAGGATGAGTGTGCAGGCCGGGAGCGCGCGCTGCTTGTCCAGCGCCCTCGTGCGAGACAAGGCTTATGTCGGCGGCAAGTGGATCGGCGCGATGGATGGAACAACGTTTGACGTGACGGTATACTCTAATGTCCGCATAAATTTAGACTTACTCCGCACGATTTTAGTGACAACCCATTCCGGTATATACTGTAACCCTGAACATCCGGGAGTCTGCGGTGTGCATCCAGCTGAACGGCATGAATAAAACTTCGATGTAACTTTACAAACTATATATCCATCATTCTTCGATGTAAGAATATCACAGGCACGCGAATAAAATACCCTTTCCCCTGTTCAGCAGGGGGAGGGAGAGAACCCCCTCCCACCGTTTAGCGAGGGAGGAAGGGAACCCCCTCCCCCCATTCAGCAGGGGAGGAAGAGAACCCCCTCTGCCATTCAGCAGGAGAGGAAGAGAACCCCCTCCCACCATTCAGCCGGGGAGGGTGGGCGGTCGCGACGAAGCGGTTGAGTTCCGACGACGTGAATTCCCATCCCATGTCGATTCCCGATGTGCGAGCACGTTCTCCTGTTTCAGAATCCGTCGACGGGAGAGGTGCTGGCGAAGGTGGCGAACGTCGGGGAGGCGGAGACGAAGGTGGCAGTGCAGCAGGCGCACATAGCGTTCCAGAGCTGGCAGTTCACAACGGCAAAGGTACGATACTGCTGAGAGTTGAGAGGGAGGGGTGAGAGAGAGAGGTGGAGAGAGAGAGGGAGAGAGCGAGGAAGAGAAA